ACATGCTGAAATCCTTCCCTGTGAATAGAAGTTTGGCCTCATKTGCAGTATAGAGGGAGTAGAGTTATAACTGAAGTTGTCTGGATAACCCCGAAACTGAGACTTTGGTACTCCTGAATGTCTGATTCTACAATGATTCTTAAATAATGTTGGTTTTCATTCCTTTTGGGAGGTAAGAAGTAACTTGGGGACATGTTGATGTATTTCTGCAATAGGAGCAAAAAAAAATGTTSCACAGAAATTCAGGTCAGGCAGAACCTGCCTGATAAATGTGGGACCAGCTCAGAGAAACATAGAAAAGAAGGTCAGGTGAGAATCTCTTTTAAAAAAAAAACAGGGTTAATGTTTAAAGTCAGCCAGGATAGAAACCACACTCAGCTGCCTCCTTTTTCATGAGTTCAAGGGTTAGACTGTGCTGAGCTACTCTGAAAGACACAGAGGGTTGTTGGCTTTTTTTTTTTTTTCAAAACAGCTTCTCAGCTCCCACACCTTGCACCCAAATGTTATAATCCCAGGATAAAAGGACAGAATTTTTAGCAGAGGTCCCTCCATTTCTCCATGGTTTCCAGAACCACTGCCCTTGCCCCACCACCATAATGTGGCTCCAGAAAAAGAAACAGGTTTCTATCAGCACAGATCTGTCACATTTACTGGGGTGGTCCTCAGCTTCCACATGAAACTTTTAATTTTTAAAATATGTTATGACCAATTCTTTATAAATTGCAGGGCAGAAGGGGGACAATTTCATGGTTGGTTCTCAGGAATTAAACTTGAATAGCTGCACCACACTGACTGGGCCTTGCTGGTGTAAGATGTTACAGGGCATTATTCTGCACTTCTGGGATGGGCTCAGGGACATTCCTCCTCAGCCTGCAATATTTTCACATTCTGGCACATTTGCATGAAACTCTGCTGGATACTGCACTACACAGATGAGGGAAGCCAAGTTTATTCACAAGTCCATCAGCACAAATATCGGGCCAGGAAGGGAACACCCAGAGTGCTTTTMCCTCACCTGCAACACCACGATGCTTGAGACACACCACAAAGACCCTACTTCATCGTGCASCAAATAATTATGCACCCTGAAGTCATTTTAACCAAGCTACACCTATCAATAYTTCATATCTAAAGCAAATAATCACACTGGAGAGAAACCTGCTGGTTCCAAACCCTTCTCTTGTCTGATTCCAAGCCCTGAGCTGTTTGGTTTGTGCATTATGGACTTTTTACCTTTGGACTCGTTTTTATCCTCATCTGTTTCAGCTTCAAGTTTGAGGCCATGCGGTTTCAGGCTGTTGGCAAGAGGCAGCTCCTTGCTCATTGTCAGTTGATTTTAATCCCCTTTCCTCAGGGTATCTGCCCCAGTGGCTCCCAGCCACACCACCTCCAGTATTCTCTCCCCAGCCAGGCAGTGCCAGGTTCAGATGAATGGGAATCTTCCCTCCTCACCCAAGCCTGCCCCCGTCCCACAACAGCAAAGCTGAGGCTGTTGAAAGAAACAGGAATGGCAACAAAGCTGGCATTGTTGTCCTGAAAAACCACTGCCTGCAGCCCGCCCCGCTTCGGTCGGGATAACGGATACACGGATGAATCCCAGCTTTTGTTTCAAAAACTTGTTTTGASTTTTTCTTTGGGGAAAGACTTGAAAATGGTTACAAAGTCACTGCTGTAGGCAAAGAGAGAACAAGGAGGGGGGGAAGTCGCACTGGTTTTATCCAAGTTGGTTGTTCAGGGTGGTCTCTGGGGTGTGAATCTCAGATCAGCCTCACACTGGGGCAGTTCATGGAGGAGGAGGGGGGCACCAGTCAGGACCCCAGTGACAAAAGTGGGGCACTTTGAAGCTTTTACTGATGGACTTGCCCATCAAGCCTGAGGAAAGATGAGAGCAAGACATGCCCAGTGTTTATATTGTGTTTATAATATGAAGACCTCAGACTCGAACGTTTTAAGACTTCAGTGACCATGTGAACTTCTGTGTAGGTCAGGACTTCACCCAGCAAACCCTGGATAAAATCCTACAAACTGTGGTTACACTCAATTGTATTGTTTTAAAAGACATCCACTACTGCACCAGCTGACTGAAGGAACAAGGCTTGCTGAGGGTCCTGTCTCATGTGGGATGAAGTTTATGATTTACAGCCTTGTCACATACTCACTGGACTCCCTGTCACCTTGCTGTAACAGCAAGAATCTTCCCCTGGATCCTGTGCAGAAAAAAATGTATCTAAATACAGATGGATGCGCTCTTTGTGTCCATGGACCAAAACTACCAGYACAAACTTCAAGATTTCAATACAAAAGCTGTGCCACTCACTCCACCATCAAGCAACAACTCCACAGGTTAAACCTGAAGGTGAACATTCATCTCTCACCTTTCATAGGACCTATTTCATCCRAATGGACCTATTTAATGGTGTCTCCATGTTTTCACAGTGCAGCTGTCCTGAATAGTGGTTTTTTGCAGCCAGTCCAAATGACATTAGTGGCAGATTAGGAATCTGACACATCAATTAGTAATCCATTCACTTTTTCCAAAGTCCACATCAGAAACTATCTGTGAATGCCAAACTGGGCTTGTGATCTCCACAGACATTTGTTAGTCTTAAGGAAAGAATAATAAATCTCAGCTTTTCTACACTTATAAGGAAATCAGACTTCAATAAAGCTCAAAATTATGGCTTTCCAAAATTTCTATTTTTGCCAATATGGATGTAAGTTYTGATTGGATTTTGTTTTAAATTAAGAAACTTGCACCTAGTTTTCCTTGGTTTTCATTTTTAAAGCTCGTGTCAGCTTCTTCGTGTTCATGTCTGCAATGGGTTTTCTTATACTTCACTTAAAAGCTCTGAGTTTGCAAGCAAAGTCTGCAAAGAATTCTTCTATTTGCACAAGACGTGATGAAACAGGACTGCTCGGAGCATCTCACTGCAGTTCAACATCAGGAGAATAAGGCCTGACACCTTGYAAGGTCCATGAAAAGATTGCTGTTGGCCTCCAGAAAGGCACCAGTCARTTGGCCAGAGGCTGAAATAAGCAGCCAGCCCCTGGTGGGTGACAGCACCCAGGGCTGGTTTTGCTGCTCAGGTTGGGCTGGGGCAGACATGGCATTTTCTCTGCTCTGTTTCAATCTGGCAGCACCGGGGGCTGATGATGCTGCTGGTGGCACAGGGGCAGAAGGGTTTGTCCCAATGTGACAGAGAATCACAGCTCCTTATGACACAGGATAACCTGGAACACGTGTGGCAGCAGAACCCTCCCAACAGCTTCTACAACCTCCAGCTGGAGCCTCTGTGTCCTCCCAGAGCCCTAAACTGGCCCTTCCAGACTCCACCCACCCCTCCAGTACTTCTGAAATTGTTTTCCAAGATGAAGGCAAAGAAAGAAAACCAGCAGAGGAAAGACATTATGGTCTTACCACCAGAACTGCCCTCAGAGAAGAAAATGGAGTTTGCAGTTTTCTTCACAGATGGMAAGCTGTATCCAAAGGCATTACATCCCCTGGTTATGATGGGGATTTTTTTGCAAGGCATTATTAGAAGGAAGCTTGTCAGCTCTGCTGAGAAACTTGGCAAACACTGGGGCAGACCAGTCTCACTCTTTCACACAGCTGGATTTTCTGCAGCTCAAGTATTTTTCCCTCTTGCTCTTGGCCCATCCAAAGATGAGTGCTGAATTTCCCTTAGCATTACCCACAGGTTAATTTGTTATTAAGTTTAGGCTCAGTTTAACATCTTGGCATGCAATTTAAATCAAACCAAAACCAAATGTCCTTCATTTCTGYTAAAACCACCCTCGGTTTGGCTCAGCTGCCTTTGGTGTCACTGGAGGGTGAACAGCAGATTCATTTTTGGTAGGTAACCTAAATATCCTCCATGMAACTTTGAAATACACTGCCATAAAATAATTATTTGTCATAGAATGAGACTGGCCRGAACCTGAACATGCTACATTGGCCCTGACTTAGCTGTGAAATACTTCTTACTGCAGGAAAGGAAGACACACCAGACATGAGCTGCAGGAATGGTGCAGCCAAAGCTCAGGCACAACTTCTTAACTACAGGAACAAAGACGGGATTTCCTTCAGAGGCTCAAGGAGGGAGTGCTTGAAAATCCCACAGGCACAGTCCTGCCCCATGTATGATTTTGTTCCTGGTCTGATTCTGTACCTTCCACAGTCCAAGTGTGACAGTATGACCAGAATGATGTCCATGGAAAGGGGAAAAGCTCCTAAGAATTGTGAGTGAGTGCATGTTAACTCATTATCTGCACTAAGAGGAGGCAGCTGACTCTTCCAGTCTATTTTGTTTTCTTCTGCCCACGGGGTATTTATAGGCAGCTTTAAAGAGTCTCCAAAGTGACCTGCAGAAAACACCCCGTAATCTCCTTCTGCAAATTTCTGTCTGACTAGGACACATCACGTTCTTTCCTGCTTTTTCCAGCGTGTTCAAAGTGTGTTACTTAGGTGTGATTGAGCTGATAAATCRAGTTATGTGATTTCTTTCTGTTGATCAAATAATTCTGCTTAAGGGCATTTCCAAAATACTGATGTTTACCATTTCACAGTCACAGCAGATTACTTCACATGCAGAGATGAAACCAGTACTAAACTATTTAACTATTGAAGTCCTTGACACAGACACCTGAACTTCAGAGAAACTTCACCAAGTACAAAGATTTTGAAGCTGATGTTGGTTTTGTGGACTTATTCTACACAGCAAAGAAAAGCAAAATTTGTCTCTATTACTGTCAGTCATTTAAGAGAATGAGGGCCTCTACTCTGAATCAGAACATAGGGTTGAAAACAAGGGAAGATCAACTAGAAAGATTTATGTGTGCTAAAATGGAGATTTACATAAGCCTCCTGAAAATTAAGTAATGTACTACATTTATGAAATCATCACAAACACACCATTCCAGTAATCGCACGTGTCTGGCTTTCAAAAAAAGTATCCTATAGTGGCATAARTAAAGAAGGAAACAGAAGGACAAGTTCTTACTTGTGCCCAAGTTCATGTGCAATTGTGAATGCCAAATTGAGACCGTTGTCTTCAGCAAGAACACACTTTCTCTTGGCACTGCAGACACCTCCCAGGTAAGCAATTCCTGCAACAGAGACACAGAGAATGTTCCCATCAAAATCAGTGGAATAGCTCATTCACATAAAACATACAGCAGTAACAACCAAAGTGATCAAAAATGCAACCAGAATGAAAAAYATTAGAGCAGTTTCCATACAAAATAATCTGAGTAGTTTCTTCATCCTACTGAAGAATCAGTCCAGAGTTTTGTCAGACAGGAAATAAGTGAAACACATTCACCTTCACTGCTTTCACTGGAAAATATATTTCACTGTCTCAAAAATATATTTCACTAACCCAAAAATTCATCTGACCTTGTCTACTAATACAAGCATTAGAAGATGCAGTGAAGGAGCCTGGACAAGCATTTAAATGGAGTTCTCCCAATTTTCAGAATAAAGTCAGGGAGAAAGAATAAAACAATAAAGTAGAGACTCTGAAAAGATCTTAAATTTTYCTTTATTTTCATGCTTAAAAGAGAGCAAGTGTGTCAGAGCCAGGAGAGCTGGCAAAGTCCTGGTGGTGAGTCACAAAGCCAATGTAGGTGGCACAAGTCTCCTGTGACTGAGTGGAATTTAGGACTTGATCCATGCACAGTATTCTCCTGTTTGTGTGGGCACCACGAAGGGTTTGAGGCTGAAGCCAAAAAGGAATTCAAAAGTTACAGCATGAAAGCTCTGCTACRGAAAAACACCAGTCCTCATCTGCCCTCCCTGCAGCCAGCCTGTCCCCTGCTCCAAGTGCCACTGCACTTTGGAAATTTGGAAATGCTGCCATGGCACCAGCACTTGCAGCAAAGGGTGAAGGCAGAAATCAGCCACTAACACTTGCTTACGTTAAAAATGCTGACTCTGAAAGGCCAGATTCCTACCACATGCAAAGAAAAAAAAAAAGGAAATCAAGATTTAACCTTTTAAATCAATGGCCATAAAAGGCTGGATTTCAGCACTTTTCTTGGAATGACTTGCTTTTTACACACAGAATAGTCACAAGGATGTCAAGGAATTGCTCAGGAAATAACAGCCATCTTTGAGAAAGATTTTGAGACTGCAAGYTTAGTCCACACACCTGGTGGCCCAATGAATGTGCCACTTTTTGGGAATAGAGAGAGATATTTTGGTTCCCTTGCAGCAGTTTTAGGCAGCAATAACCAAAGCAGGATTTTTACCAAAAGTGTTTTATTCCTGCTACTAAACCTCATTATTCCACCTTTACCTTCCATTAACCTGTGCCAATATCTCTCTCAGTTTTATCTGACACATGAGGTTTTAGCTGAGGAGCAGCAACTGCATTTCAGTCTCAGGGGTCAATCAGGCGAGTCAGTTTTGTTGAAATTATTCATGCCAAGTTCCCTCTGAGAAATTTCATAAATTGAGGCTGGSTCTATGTTTGCCATCATGGGAATGGAAGGGGGCAACATTCCCATGTTTGGGAGGTGTGATGCAGCAAAACAGTCTAGAATTCTGTCAAGATATTAAAATATTAAACACCAATTAAAATGTCAAATACTTTACTCCAAAGTGTAACTTTTCTGAAGTCTTTGTTTAGCAGCTCTAATCCCCACTGAACCTGGCAATGCACACCCACATTACTATTTTGGCTTTTGCTCTGTGCTAAATTATTCAAAGGTGGAAAGCAAATGATTARGGACTTGTACATCCACCAGTGGTCAAAGAAGTAGTGACTGTGGCTCAGTTACAGACTGTTAGTCATCCCTTTTTATGAGCTATTTGCAGTGCTAAATGTGAATCCTGGGTGGCCATTTTATAATATCTGCAATGATCAATTTAAAAATGTAGCCATTTAAAATTAGTTTGTTATTACAGAAATGGACTGGGCAGAGAAACTCATAATCCTGGAARAGCAGGAACCTTTGGAATAGATGGAAGGAGCTCAGTAAGAAGCCCAGCTTGTGAACTGCTGAGTGCTTATTAATAAGAGTCATCCTGGAACAGCAAGCCAGTTATAACAAATTGGTATCACATTTTAAGCCTGAAAAGGCTTGCCTTAAAAAYGTTTTTGAAATCTATTTTTTCTATCAAACTATTTCCTAAGACTATAATTTTCTTTCRGGCCAATACATTTTAGCATTAAGTCCTTTCATCAGAACATCAACAGCAAATGAATTATTGATCTGGAAACACAATCCAGTTTTTTAGTAAATATATCTGAACCATTAACATAAACGCAACTTTTTTTGCAACCCAGTACAACAATCCATATAATTGATATTCAGAGAAAAAATACACCTTTAACCAACAACAACAGCAGCACAATGCCTTGGTAGCTGCATTAACTTGATTTATTTCTTCATYGGGATGAATGGAAACCGTTGTTTGCCTCTTACATTTCCAGATTTTTATCTGAGCCTTTCAAGTCTGCAGAACTGGAATAAAAACTTCATGAACTCAGACATGTTTGTGAAAATCCTGGCATGCCATGGTTCTACCAGGCTGGGAATAATAGAAGAGGAAATGCTTTTATTTGGTAATTTTGCTTCTGGGCCTGTCTGTGGGACAGGTGTGTGCGTGTGTGTGAAAATGAAAAATAGGGAAGGAAGCTGAAGTGGGATTTATTTTTTTATTTCTTAAAAAAACCCCACACTTGTCACCTGCCTCTGCAAATATACAGATAGTGTCTCTCTTCAGGGGAAAAATGTCATCTTTCAGATACATCTGCAGTAATTGCCATAAATCCATCTTTAATATTAAAAAAAAGGTCAAGCAGGAGCATCAGTGGAAGAGGGAAAGGAAAGCAAATTACTATTTTTACTATCCCCAAGCACGAGGGTTTTTTCCTTTCTCTCCTGAGAAATTACATAATTACAGCCCATAACTTCTGTGCTTGGGCTTGGACACGCAGAGCTMTCTGCACTGGACACAGGCAACTGTGTAAACTTGCTTTTATCCAAAAACTTGTCCTACATCAACAGTTTGCAGCTGTTGGCCTTGCTGCCAGCTCATGAGCCCTGCACCAGCAGGATGTCCAAGGGGAATGATCCATGATCCCATCCATCCCACCGGCCCCGTGAGGCATGAGCACATTGCACATTGCCACAGGGATGGGACAATCCAATCCTGGTGTGTGAGTTCCCTTTTTATCCCATGCAAACCCCTGGGGATTCCTCCTGCTGGCTCTGGAGTATTCACTCAGCAAGTGSTTTGTCCAGGTACTCCAGCTTTCAACTCTCTAATGTCTTGTTTTCATTGCACTCCTAATACTTTAATCTCTTCTTTTGCCAACCACCTCTGGATACAGAACTTTTACTTGATTAAAACTTGGCTGGCTCTCCTCCTGCTCAATGTATTTGCTGTTGGGAAGGGAGCCAAACTCCAAGTCCTGAAGTCTGCTTGGCACAGATGGAGACTCCCTGCACATCCACATGCTCGGAGCAAACCTCCCATTCCCCATCATTACTAGTTTGGTGTTGAGCTGATGTTTTTCTCATCCTCCCACGATTTTCAATTTGTGCAGCTCGCACATTGCCATCAATTACATTCCTGTAGCCTCTCTTAACATCCTACACGAGTAAAAYCAGGAAACCCCAAAGTGATTCATGCTCTGCCTTTCCATTCAATGCAATGATACGTTTGACAGAGATGCCCTGCCTGTATTTACACATCAAGTCAGTCACCAAGGGAATCTTTCAGTGCTCGTGACACTTCAAATGAAAAATAATTTTCCCTTTCTAGAAAGCCTACATAGAAAAGGTTCCAAAATTTCTGAAACATTAAAGAAGTACCCACTAAACTGCCTGCAAGATAGGTACTAACACTGTTCTACAGCTGAATAAACAGAGGTCTCAAGAGGCAGCAGTATCCAGGTGAAAATGAACTGTATCCATGGAAGGAGCCTCTCCAGCATGTACAACACAGACAGGCTGAGGCTGTCACCACTGAGCCTCCAGCTCCAAGTTTGGTTTATAGGGATTCATCCAGAAAAGCGAACAGGGTGAGCTGTTCCTTCATTTTATGAGAACATCCTAATTGAAAGCTGCACATGCAATTTTAGTGGCACAGATTAATTTGGCTTAATGCTGGGTAYTCATCCAAGACGCCAATTTCTGCTAATCTTGCTGTAACATGGTTTCCACTGAAGTTTAATATTCATGTATGGAAACTGTTTTCCTTAGCAATAATTTTTATTGTTACTACATTTAACAAAAACCACACTGGAAATAAGGCACTCATCGTGAACCACAARTACAGAAGTTACAGTGTGACCATCCAGTGCATGAGACACAGCTACAGGTAGGAAAACAAGTCAATAATCATCCCACGGAAAATCCCAGTATTCTGAAMTCAATTATTTATAAAGGAAGAACAGCTAATGGAAGCCACCATGACTCCCCARAATACCCACCAGACCCTGACTTTCTGACCTGGGCAATTTGTTTCAAGTGTGCCCATCTTCACAGAATCCTCTTCTCAATGGAGAACATGGCTTATCCTGAATTTCAACATGATCCCTGTAAAACTCTGCTCACCATGACCTGCAGGGATGCAGCACAACTCTCCCAGAGCTCAGTGCTGGACATCTCCCCTCCAGCCCTGACTGCTGTCCTGTAGTGCCCAATAAAATAACTTTTTCCTCTGAAAACACTGTCATTTCCAGTGTACATAACTGCTGTCAGAATCCCAGAAGCCCAGCAAGAAAAATAAACAACTGAAACACAAAGTGTAGTCACTTTCTGAATGTCTTGATTTTCATTACACTCACCCTGAAGARCTAACAAATCAAATCTGTCCCTGATATTCACAGYACCRGCTGGGATCTTTCTGGAGCTCATMATGAAAATCTCTTCAGAATACAAAGTCCTTATAGCACAAATGAGTGAAATGCTCAATACCTTTGRCAGGAGACACTTTTCTGATTATTAGGAATAACTAGAAATACTTGGTGTTGAACATTGATACAACACCCAAGGATCTAATGAGTTTTCCTGGATAACATTTCATTAGACCAGAGCTCTAACTGAGAGAGCCAGATTCAGCCACGTGCCTTAATCTTTGTGAAGGGACTGTG